CTAGTCGCAGTGTTATTATTGATCAATACCACTCGTTTGTGGGCACAATAATAGAAAATACTGTTCGTTTTATTAGTACACCAAACAGGAACTAGAATGAAATTAGCCTAGAGTCATCCACACCATCATATGTCCTTGGGTAGCGAGTACAACATTCAGTTCTGCTGGATGCGCTACTTTTAAGGATTGTATGGTCCAGTGGATTAGGGCGTCATGAGTTTTCGCTCACCTTGAGGCAGGCCAAAGCAGCATGGGTTTGAGTCCTTGGCTAGTCACAGTGCTGTTATTGATACAAACATACATTGATTCATTTGTTATTTTATTATATATTATATGATGTGTGACAAATCATTCACTATCTGTAATATAGAAAAGCAGACTTTATTATTTCAGAGTAAACATGGTAATTGCAGAATCATTGTCATTGAGTCAAGTTGTTTAATATACGAATGCTCAAAAAAAGTCTTAGATCCAAAAAAAGTCTCAGATCTCAAATATTTTGTGCTCAGTAATAATTTTAAAATCATCTGAACTCTGCATGAGTGTGAGATTCAGAATGAATTCTGACAGCTCGGTGAGGTCATATGGCCAGAGGAGCAAGACTCCTATATGTTAATCTCATATGCTCACAAACTTCGGTTTTAAAATTTTGAGGTATGTATACTTATGACATATCTAAAACTACAATTAGAACAAATGATCTGGTAATGTACATTTGAATTTGACTCTTATTTTTGTGTATCTAGTTTGTTGTAATTTATAGCATTACTTACCAATATTATAACTGAAATGTTCATTTAAAGGAAACTTAATATAGAGAACATCCTTAGGAATTGCAACCAAAAGTATTTTTGCTGAGAGCTTATTTTCTGTAACAATGATATTTTCGGAAACAATGAAAGCAGATAGATATTGCTTCAGAAAATTTCAGCGAGAATTTGACTTCAGTATTAAATGCAGACCAAGTGGAACACAATGAAATAAAGTTGGTACAAAAAATATGAAGTATAGACCTGATGCTCTAGATAGGGGCTTATGGTATACAGTAAGGAAGCCACATTTGATATGTTCAACATCTAGATTTAACTTATTATTTTCCTTATTCACTGTCATTACAATACTTTGTATTTAGTTTAAATAATTAAACAAATCTCATCTGATAAGAGTTTTAAAAGTAAGAGTATATCCTTCACATATCTCATGTAAAATGTTGGTTCAAAATCCATAGGACAACTCGTAAAGTAAAATCATTTCATAAAAATGTAGAAATATATTTGCAAGAGTTGGGTCCAGTGAAAAGCATTACAATACAGTGGATCCTCAGTTATCGGCTGTAATCCGTTCCAGAAGGTCGGCCTAAATCCGAAAAGGCCAAAAACCGAAATAATATTTCCCATAAGAATTAATGTACATAAATCCAATTAATCCATTTCAGACACCGAAGAATATTAACAAAAAATACATTTTTTAAAGATTAACTATAGTCTTACATACAGAAAACAATGAGGAAATAAATATAAAGCACAAATTTTAATGATAAATGAACATTATATACCTTTATTGAAGACTCTTGTGAGTAGTAGTTATTTGTAGGCAGCGGTAGATGTAGGTACATACACATGTGTAGCCCCCCTGGACTACACTACACAGCCATATTATTACCATGTTCACTGAGTCTAATCATTTTGAACAACTACCTTTAGATGCCATCATAAACAAAGGTAGAAGTAATGAATATTTCATGCCAAGAACTATAAACAAAAGCTTATGTATTAACGGCGGTTACTGAGAGAGATGCCAGATTCACAGTTTTCTCTAATGCTGAATCAGAGAAATCGTGATGTTTACTCTCCACCTGACTCACCACTTTCGATAGCATATAAACATTGTGCGTTTATATGCTATGTTTATATGCTGTGTAACATGTTTCTTATATAATTTTGAGGAAAATATCATAGATGGATTAATGAAAATGTCTATATTAACCTAAAATAAGACATTTAATGTGCTCAAGAGTGATTTATTATGCATCCATTACGACCGATCTTCAAAATAACGGCCGATAACCGGGATAGAATTTCGGCCAGAAAAGTGGGCAAAAAACGAATTGGCCAATGTCTGGAACAGCCGATAACCGAGGGTCCACTGTATGTGTTTGCGTATACGGTTTATTATTAATGGTAAAGAAAGGATCATTAACTGATGGATGAAGTATTTTTAATTTTTTTTATTCACTGAGTTTTAACTGAATCTCAGTAAAGAAAGCATTAATACAGTATCTATTGTATCTTATAGCGGAATATTAGTAAATAAGGACTTGACATAAAAGCTGACCATAGCTAGATTAGGCTGATGACCCTGGGCCATCCCAACCATTTAAAATTATAAAAAAAAATTAGGTGATGTACCCTGACTACTGTTCTCGATATCGTGATAATTTTTTTAATTTTTTGTGTTATGCATTTATAAAATGGGGATATTGCATCATTATGCTTCTACTGAACAATGGGCCCATCCCCTGGATGTCACCACTGCTTGGGTTTGGGAGTTTACACCACCAAGTGTGTAGACCTAATTAAATGTAAATTTGATAGAAGAATTATTGTTGGACTCTACATCATAATAATAATAATAATAATAATAATAATAATAATAATAATAATAATAATAATATCTTCATTTCTACAAGTACATGTACAAGGTATACAGGAATGTGAAAAAAAATCATGAATTCAGAGACAGCTCACAAATGTTGAAAAATTGTCAGTATTTTTTCTACAGTGGCATATTGCCAGACGATCTGGAAAAGTATTGACTTTTCGTATTCTAAATACATAATTCATAACCACATTAACTTGTCTACATTCAGGCTTACCTTTCTAAAATATAAGATACTGTACTATAAATAACTCATAACCAAATACAGTATAAACTACATTGAAAGGTTTTTGTGATGAGATCATATCTGCATAACTAACTCAATCACAATTGTTGCCAAATCATAAACTTGCAAGTGAAGTCCTTAATCGAGGTAGAAGTTAGATAGGTCCCAGTAGATAACCTTGGTGTGGACCTCCAAGTCCTTTGTTATCTGTCTTTTCCATGTACATGTACTTGCATGATTCATTACCACTGTAACTTGCTTAGCTATTATAACATAGGAGCCCAGTCTTTGGACACAATGTGCCTCTACTTTTTTGGCTGTCACCCAGAGGATCGGTATTGGGCACGTAATAAAGCTATTTAACTATGATGAACACATTTTTTAGAATTTCATCATTAAAAAATATTAAGTATGGAATATTGTTGTGCAGGTCCCTATCTCAAGTTTTATCATGAGCTTTTTCTCCATTCTTGTCTGAGTAGTTAAACAGGGGGGTCAGCTGTAGCTTGTTTTTTTCTTTAATATTCCTTCATTCCTTGATACTGGTAAAAGGTTCTTGTTCAAGGAACTGGAGCTACCATCCCCTTGGACTGAATCTAATTACCTCATTCCTCAGGCACTGTATAATTCCTAGGCATTCAGTTTTCTCCTGTGAAAGTGAGAATAGGTGGTGGTAGTGGTGGATTAATTATGAGGAAGCAGCAGTCTCTCCATACATGAGTCTTAATCAGATGATGATCCTTCCAATGGAGAAAGTTTTACACTCATTTAAAAAAAAAAAGGATTACTGCATGATAGTGAATCCTAAGATAAGAAGTTGATACCCTTGTACCCTAAAGACATTTTTTTTAATTAAAAATACTGTACTATACTTTCATGATTATAACTTGATCATTGCTACTAAGATAACAAACCTGGCTATATTGTTGTGGTGCTTGTAATTATCACTTTTTTCTAGTCTCACTTTTTTGTATTATTATAATATTTGTTCTATGCTAATGCTTAAATACATGTTTTATTGAAGAATGTTCTTTTAGCTCAGATGTAAATATTTATATTAATAGAATTTAGCATGAATCACATTAGGGATGCAATCCACATAAGCATTAACTTCAATGATGCTGTTCATACTGGATATGCACTGAGAGATACGTGTATTGGTGTACGTGCCCTGTTGCATTCAGTAATACTCTACTGAATTACAAATTTATGAAGTGTCATAATTATAAGTGAAATTTATAGTAATGCTGTGTGATTGTACACAAGTCCAGGGTGGTCCAAAATTTTCATTTACATGGACAAGAGAGCCAAGGTTCATGGATCACATGATAATTTTATATTGTATAAGATTGTGCAAGACCTGGCAGCACCAGCCTATACTGTATAAGGGTATAATGGTATAGTATAGAGATTCTTGTATTAAGGTAATTTTGAAGTTTTGACAGTAAAACCCGCTTTTTTTGATACAATAGGATTGTACTAAAGTCCTCCTGTTAATTCCCAAGAATAAAATTAGCACTAAGTTACTAGCAATTTAATATCTCTTATTCATCTTTAACTTCTGTTTAAATCCATTTTATTTAGTTATTTTTTCAAATGTTCTTCAGGGAACTTGGAGGAATAACTTTGCACATTCACTATACTCCAGTCCATTACTCAGTCAAAAATATTAGTTGTAAAATTTTGTATTGCTATACAGCAGCTGTATATGTATTGAGAGGTGCATATCTTTGTATATAAACAAATTTACTTTAATCACTTGCTTAAGTGATTGAATTAGTGTTATGGATGTCATTCTACAAGAATATTGCAGTCCTAATGACCCAGGTGTAGCAAGAGGCTTGCATTGCAACAAATAGCTTAAATATATTGCTTATACAGCTTACATTTATATTATATTATTATGCTAATAGTGCTTAAGATTGTTACTGGCTCTAAAGACAGCACTTGTCTAGCTTCTAATTTAAATTGTTACTGCAGAAAAGAATAACATAAATGGGCCAAAGTTTGCTAATTTCCTAAATGAACACAATGGATTTTTCAAGATTGGTTATCACTCCATAGACCTAGAATAATCTAACTCGTGTTCTTCAGTGTGTTTTATAAACACCTACAGAAGAATGTGCTGATCCGAGGAAGATGACCCTCTATGCCATCTGCCTTGCCAATCGATCTGCAGCACTTTATCATCTGCGAGAATACCACTACTGTGTCAAAGATATAGATGAAGCATTAGAGCATCATTACCCAAAGGTAGGTAATGTACTTTTTTGAAAGAATGAACCTATAGAATGAACTATAGACTTGCATTTTTGTATGTAGACATAACCTTTGTTAATATATTTTCATGTGTTTTAAATAGCAGGTATAAAATAAGATGATCAAGCGTAAAGAAAAGGAAGAGAAAATGGTAATTGTTTAAGGAAATAGACTTCTCATTTGTATTAGTAATAATTTTTTTTTTTTCTGTGTTTACAAGCAATTGAGGATTAGTAAGTTTGAAATCTAGTTGAAAGGTCATTTCTATTTAATAAATAGGAACTCAAATACAAGCTTTACAAACGGAAAGCTCGACTATTGTCCCACATGAAGCAGCACATTGATGCTCGTGATGCATACCGTCAAGCTCTCAAGTGGCTGGACTGGGCCAAGATGGAGAGGGAAAAGAGGATTGAACATCAGACAGACATTCAAAAATGGCTCAAAATGTATGAGACTGGGAAGGTTGTCAAGAATTGGGGTAAGTACTGTATTTATAAAAGCATTGTATATACTTAATATAAATTTAATTTTATATTTTGTAAAACTTGTATGACGTGCAAGTTTTCCATAATAAAAACAATAGGAAGATGAAAAACTTAACTATTGGGTGATTAACTGATTTTAGCAAAATCATGGTCCACATAACTGTATAATAAGATTTCAAAGTTTTTTAAATCAGAATTTCTACCTTTTATCCCAGGAACTTTAGGGAAAACTTTTAAACAATTGTATAGCTTACTTGTCTCCTAATTGTTCTAGTTATTCATCTTGAGCAAACCTCACAGTGTCACTACAGACAGTCATACTACTATTGGCTTGCTTGATTTAAAACAACAGGGGAGTGGTCATGCAAGTCATAATGTCATGTCATGTCATACTTTTTGAGTGTTTAATTAAATGTCTGCTCTCAGTGCCACTACCTCAGTGAGTGCAGTATGGAAAAGGATGCAGAAACTAGTGAGCAAGTACTGTAGTACTTACCTGACCTAGATCCCATCATTAACATTGCTGGTATGGAATTAGCCTAATTCTGTTGATGTAGTAGAAGCAATTGGGTATCACTTTGCTTGGGTTTTCCAAAGGCTACATTTGACAGCTGATGTTTTCCAGTCGATATTTATGTAGAAATACTCTTCTGGATTCTACCTCACTGACTGAAGATGCTAACAGTGTGCCAGTTGCCCCTCTTAACCTTGTATTGGCACTGTGAAGATATCAGCCTATGGCAGCCAGGCTAAATGTTGTATTGTGGTCTTTCTCCTTAGATGTCATTATTTGATACATTTATTCTTCAAATTACATTTATGCCTTTGCAGATATACCTGAGGGCTATATAGAACCTGCTCCAATAATTCCTGACCTTGCTGAAGGTAGCAGTGAGCGCTTCCCTTCACTCAGTAAGAAAGTCGATGTTAAATATGACAACAACCAAGGTCGTTATGCTGTTGCTGCTGAGGACATTGAGCCGGGAGATGTTATTGCCACAGAAAAGCCTTTTGCAGCTGTTCTTCTACGGGAGGAATATGGAAATCATTGTCAGAAGTGCTTTAAAGTGTAAGCATAAGAATGCACATGATTTCCTTTTTCAAATATACATCATGTACAGTAGGACCTTCGTATCTGCGGGGTATATATTTCAAGGACCTGCTGTGGATACCGAAACCATGGATAGTAGCAGACCCTATATATAAATTCTACATACCTATTTTAAAATTTAATTGATAAATTATGCATGATAGGTGGAGAATTGTCACTTTAACTGATGGGAAGCACTTCATGGTTTCTCTTAGGCTTAGAAGAATTGCCAGCTTCTCTACTTTCGTGCTTTGGGGTCATTATTATGTAAAATTAAGAAGTATTTTTGGGCCACAGTAAACTGTAGATAACTGAAACCGCAGATACCGAATCGGTGGATACGGGGGTTCTACTGTACAGCCTCTCCTCACTTAATGATGGAGTTTTGTTCCTAAGACCACGTTGGTAAACAAATTCATCTCTAAGCAAGGAGCATACTATAATGGTAGAGGGTTTGTGTCAACCATCTTTGATATTGTTTTAATGTCACCTTTGCACCATTTATAACATTTTTAGTATATTTTTAAGTGTATGTACAGTAGTGTACTATATATTGTAATAAACAGAATAGAGGAAATCAGCTCTAATATACATTATTTTTGTATGCATGCTGGTCAGAGAGCCTGTCGTAAGTCTGAGTCATCAGTAAATGAGTATGTCGCTAAGTGAGGAGAGGCTGTACTTATAAAAATGGTCTTGTTTACACAGTAAATCTGTACTAATATTAAGAAATGTTACACATTACTTTTCATTATAAGATAATTCATAGAAACTTTATAATCATTGTGTGGAGATCAGATATTTTCATCATGGGATAGGAATGTGAAGAAATACTAAGAATAAATATAAGAGAAATTTCAGTGACCAGTATAGTGGAACCTTTGCTTACAAGTTTAATCCATTTCGTGACCTAGCTCGTAACCCGATCCTCTTGTATGCTGAATCAATTTTCCTCATTAGTAAGTAAGTAAGTAAGTAAGTTTATTCAGGTATACACAAATACAGTTACATAGAATTATCATACATAGCAGCATATGTGTATAGAACCTAGGATAACCCAAAAAAGTCAGACAGAGTGACTTATTTCCATTCCATTAATCCGTTCCAGCAAAATTCCTGCTCTTGGGAGGCAGGACAAAAATACTTCAGTTTGATGCTAGTATCAACTTTGTGGCTCATTTATCTATCACAATTCATCTAATATGACATAATAAACAATATAATTAACATTGAAACATGATATATACTCTAGAATGAATAAAATCGGCCGTAACATGGCGAGTGGTGGTGGTGGCGCCCATTCCCTCTCCTGCTGACTGTATCTTCCCATGGTTTTATTATAAGAGAAAACAGAGTGTTTGTGAGGCAAACTGCACTAGTTTCATAAATAAGAAATATTGTATAAAAACATAATAGAGAATGTAAAGAAATAAAGTGGTTTTCTAAAGTGTATGTACGCTGGCGGAGGTGGAGGTGGAGGTGGAGAGTAGAGGATAGGCTACTTGTTTCTAGCTTCTACTGTCGCCACACACCTCGCTTGTTTATCTATGATTTCATGCTGTAATTTCATGAACATCATCATCTTTTTCTTCTCAGCACTGTCCTTTGTACTTACTTTCTTAGGACCCATGATTAGAAAAAAGAAATTTGGCCATAATAACATGAGAAATGCTTCCACGGCGACATAAATGCATTGCACGGCTCAGCTGTTGTTGTGGCATTGGCTGTGCCACCTAGTGGCGATGTTCTGAAACTCGCTTATTATTATTATTATTATTAATTTAGGGAACTGGAGCACAGATCCAATTCCCTAGATCAAGAGTCCCTCACCAGCATTAAGGAACCTCCCTTGAGGGGAAAGCTTGCAACCTGAATTTTGGCTTATATCCAGGAGCAAAAAATTGACTGAGCAACGGCTCGTATCCTGAAAAACTCGCATGATGGGGCACTCGCAAGCAAAGGTTCCACTGTACCTATCAGATAACTTATCTTGCAAAAATCATAGTAATATTGCAGTAAGAGAGATAGCAACATATCATTAACTGTTTTATTATGTATGAGTCTTATCCTTTTTATTTTATTGTCCCACAAGCACATTTTTCTTTTTAGCTGAAAGTACAGTACAGCCTCTCCTCACTTAGCGACGTACTCATTTACCAACACCTCAGACTTACAACGGGCACTCGGACCAGTATTTATACCGAAATAATGTATGTTAGAGCTGATTTCCTCTATTTTGTTTACTTGAATATACAGTACACTACTGTATAAATGTTTAAAAATATACCAGAAATGTTATAAACGGTGCAAAGGTGACATTAAAACAATATCATAGATGTTTGACCCAAACCCACTACCATTATAGTATGCTCCTCACTTAGCGACGAATTTGTTTAACGACGTGGTCTTAGGAGCAGAACTCTGTCATTAAGTGAGAAGAGGCTGTACATAATAACTTTTAACTAGCCACTGAACTTTAGTCTTGTACATTTTTTTCTGCCTGTGTACTTTGTGCACATTTATTTATTTTTTTTTTTAAATTAACTTAACTGGTCAGATGAATTTTACCTTATGTAAGCATGTAATATCAGCCTTTTACCCCACACAAATCTGAAAATACTTGGGAAACTTCAATCATTCTCTTATGTTTATTGTGGAAATCACTTCAATCCGTTCATTATTAATGCATTACCATACATGTTATAAATGACTATAATTCGCCATAGAATTGTCGTACAACAATGATACTTATATCAAAGTGTTGCCAAAGTGTTAAGGTATTTTTCTATAAGATTAACTCATTTTTTGTTGTTTTTCAATTTTTTTTAATTTCTTGCCTTGCTCCACATGTCAGTGGCCCCTAAGGCTTCTGAATTGTATGTTATTTAATATGTATATGTACTTCCTAAACAAGTATTACCATTATTATTATGTACAGTAGACTGTTATTTAACATGGTAGTTACGTTCCTTAAAGCACTGTGTTAGGTAAAACCGTGTTAGATGAACTGAAGAACTTATAAGAAAAATAGGGTTACGTTCCTGAGAGCCCCAAAAAAGCCAAACAACTTTTTTTAGGCCTCCACATCTTACAAAAATAAAAGTGAATATGTAATTGCAGTTCATTGTTGTGATGTATGATGTTGTTTTTACTGCTTAAGACTACAAATGTAACAGAAATAATAGTATTTCTTACCTTAAATTGTGGGTGCTGGTGTTTGTGGATGATTGTGAAGAGAGTGGAGAGTTATGTTGTGGCCCTAATGGGCTGAGGTGGATGGTAGAGGTTCTGGTACTTAAGTTGATGGTTGTATTGGAGTGTCTAACTTTGTCATTCAGTCAATCAAGTGATTCAGTAAATCAAGTGATTCAGTAAGTCAGTCAAGTCATTCAGTAATTCAGTCAAGTCATTCAGTAAGTTAGTCAAGTTGTTCAGTAAGTCAGTCAAGTGATTCAGTAAATCAGTCAAGTCATTCAGTAATTCAGTCAAGTCATTCAGTAAGTTAGTCAAGTTGTTCAGTAAGTCAATCAAGTCATTCAGTAAGTCAGTCAATTCATTCAGTAAGTCAGCCAAGTCATTCAGTAAGTCAGTCAAGTCATTCAGTAAGTCAAGTCATTCAGTAAGTCAAGTCATTCAGTAAGTTAGTCAATTCATTAAGTCATTCAGTAAGTCAGTCAGTTCATTCAGTAAGTCAGTCAAGTCATTCAGTAAGTCAGCCAAGTCATTCAGTAAGCAGTCAAGTCATTCAGTAAGTCAGTCAATTCATTAAGTCATTCAATAAGTCAGTCAAGTCATTCAGTAAGTCAGTCAATTCATTCAGTAAGTCAGTCAATTCATTCAGTAAGTCAGTCAAGTGATTAAGTAAGTCAGTCAAGTCATTCAATAAGTCAGTCAGTAAGTCAGTCATGTGATTCAGTAAGTCAGTCAGGTCATTCAGCAAGTCAGTCAATTCATTCAGTAAGTCAGTCAATAAATCAGTCAAGTCATTCAGTAAGTCAGTCAAGTCATTCAGTTAGTCAATCAAATCATTCAGTAAGTCAGGTCATTCATTTAGTCAAATCATTGAGTAAGTCAGTCAAAACATTCAGTAAGTCAGTCAAGTCACTCAGTAAGTCAAGTCAATCATTCAATAAGCAGTCAGTCAGTCACTAAGTCAGTCAGTCACACAAACTAATGTTTACCTTTTTTTGTGTGTACAAAGTAACACTTCATTATGGCCACAGGATGTCGTGCTATACTCAAATCGTGCCAAATAACGGTCAACTGGAATTGCTACCAGTTGTCTCAAAGTATTTCTACCAGTAGTCTCAAAGTATGTATTTCATAAATATGCAAAACAACCATGGGGGGAGTTGGCCATCATTCAAATTCCCCCATGGTTCTTTTGTATCTAGTATCACTTGTTCGTGATTTTTGGCATTTCATAAATTTATTAGACATCCTTATATTAGTGGCATACAATACAGACAAAATGATGAATAAAACTCATACACAACATTTGGCTATCTTTATTGTGGAAACATTTCACCTACATAGGCTGAGGGACTAGCTATCTTCAATCAAGGATAAGTGGACCAAACACCTGTCAACTCTTCAAAGCTGTGGGACTGAACATTTTTTTTCATATTTACCTGAAGTTCAGGTGAGGGTAAACTTAGCTGCTGATAGAATAGAGGCGGTGAAAAGTTGTTGCACTTTTAGATTTAATGCTCTAAACTTTGCCATTAATATTAAATGTTAAAATTCTCTGTCATCTTGCCACTTCTTCTATCTCTATTCCTTCAACAAGAGGGGACTGTGCCTTGATACTGGTGAAGGACTCTTGTTCCAAAGACTTGGAGCTACCCCTTTCCTTGGATCAAACTTGAATGCCTTCTGTTCCCCAGGCACTGTATGATCCCTATGGGTTTTGCATGTCTCCATAAAAATAATTAATAAATCCACTATTTCCAGTAAGAAAGTTGGTCTGTATTTGAAGAAGCCTTCTGTACAGGTAAAACATTTTGGTAGAAAGATATCTAGTTGTTACATATGTCTTATTTATCAATATCTTTCCATTCTTAATTGGCAGTATGGTACATTGTATTATTGATTTTTTTTTTTTTTTCAACAAGTCGGCCATCTCCCACCGAGGCAGGGTGACCCAAAAAAGAAAGAAAATCCCCAAAAAGAAAATACTTTCTTCATCATTCAACACTTTCACCACACTCACACATTATCACTGTTTTTGCAGAGGTGCTCAGAATACAACAGTTTAGAAGCATATACGTATAAAGATACACAATATATCCCTCCAAACTGCCAATATCCGAAACCCCTCCTTTAAAGTGCAGGCATTGTACTTCCCATTTCCAGGACTCAAGTCCGACTATATGAATATAACCGGTTTCCCTGAATCCCTTCACTAAATATTACCCTGCTCACACTCCAACAGATCATCAGGTCCCAAGTATCATTCGTCTCCATTCACTCCTATCTAACACGCTCACGCACGCTTGCTGGAAGTCCAAGCCCCTCGCCCACAAAACCTACTTTACCCCCTCTCTCCAACCCTTTCGAGGACAACCCCTACCCCTCCTTCCTTCCCCTATAGATTTATATGCTTTCCATGTCATTCTACTTTGGTCCATTCTCTCTAAATGACCAAACCACCTCAACAACCCCTCTTCTGCCCTCTGACTAATGCTTTTATTAACTCCACACCTTCTCCTAATTTACACACTCCGAATTTTCTACATAATATTTACACCACACATTGCCCTTAGACAGGACATCTCCACTGCCTCCAACCATCTCCTCGCTGCTGCATTTACCACCCAAGCTTCAAATCCATATAAGAGTGTTGGTACTACTATACTTTCATACATTCCCTTCTTTGCCTCCATAGATAACGTTTTTTGACTCCACATATACCTCAACGCACCACTCACCTTTTTTCCCTCATCAATTCTATGATTAACCTCATCCTTCATAAATCCATCCGCCGACACGTCAACTCCCAAGTGTCTGAAAACATTCACTTCTTCCATACTCCTCCTCCCCAATTTGATATCCAATTTTTCTTTATCTAAATCATTTGATACCCTCATCACCTTACTCTTTTCTATGTTCACTTTCAACTTTCTACCTTTACACACATTCCCAAACTCATCCACTAACCTTTGCAGTTTTTCTCTAGAATCTCCCATAAGCACAGTATCATCAGCAAAAAGTAACTGTGTCAATTCCCATTTTGAATTTGATTCCCCATAATTTAATCCCACCCCTCTCCCGAACACCCTAGCATTTACTTCTTTTACAACCCCACCTATAAATATATTAAACAACCATGGTGACATTACACATCCCTGTCTAAGACCTACTTTTACCGGGAAGTATTCTCCCTCTCTTCTACACACCCTAACCTGAGCCTCAATATCCTCATAAAAACTCTTAACAGCATTTAGTAACTTACCACCTATTCCATATACTTGCAACATCTGCCACATTGCTCCTCTATCCACTCTATCATATGCCTTTTCTAAATCCATAAATGCAATAAAACTTCCCTACCTTTATCTAAATACTGTTCACATATATGCTTCAATGTAAACACTTGATCTACACATCCCCTACCCACTCTGAAGCCTCCCTGCTCATCCGCAATCCTACATTCTGTCTTACCTCTAATTCTTTCAATTATAACCCTACTGTATACTTTTCCTGGTATACTCAGTAAACTTATTCCTCTATAATTTTTACAATCTCTTTTGTCCCCTTTCCCTTTATATAAAGGGACTATACATGCTCTCTGCCAATCCCTAGGTACCTTCCCCTCTTTCATACATTTATTAAACAAAAGTACCAACCACTCCAACACTATGTCCCCCCCTGCTTTTAACATTTCTGTCATGATCCCATCAGTTCCAGCTGCTTTACCCCCTTTCATTCTACGTAATGCCTCACGTATCTCCACCACACTTACATTCTGCTCTTCTTCACTCCTAAAAGATGGTATACCTCCCTGGCCAGTGCATGAAATTACCGCCTCCCTTTCTTCCTCAACATTTAAAAGTTCCTCAAAATATTCTCGCCATCTACCTAATACCTCCCTCTCCCCATCTACTAACTCCCCTACTCTGTTTTTAACTGACAAATCCATACTTTCCCTAGGCTTTCTTAACTTGTTTAACTCACTCCAAATTTTTTTCTTATTTTCATTAAAATTTCTTGACAGTGCCTCTCCCACTCTATCATCTGCTCTCCTTTTGCACTCTCTCACCACTCTCTTCACCTTTCTTTTACTCTCCATATACTCTGCTCTTCTTATAACACTTCTGCTTTGTAAAAACCTCTCATAAGCTACCTTTTTCTCTTTTATCACACCCTTTACTTCATCATTCCACCAATCACTCCTCTTTCCTCCTGCCCCTACCCTCCTATAACCACAAACTTCTGCCCCACATTCTAATGCTGCATTTTTAAAACTATTCCAACCCTCTTCAACCCCCCCACTACTCATCTTTGCACTAACCCACCTTTCTGCCAATAGTCGCTTATATCTCACCCGAACTTCCTCTTCCCTTAGTTTATACACTTTCACCTCCCTCTTACTTGTTTTTGCCACCTTCCTCTTTTCCCATCTACCTCTTACTCTAACTGTAGCTACAACTAAATAATGATCCGAAATATCAGTTGCCCCTCTATAAACATGTACATCCTGGAGCCTACCCATCAACCTTTTATCCACCAATACATAATCTAACAAGCTACTTTCATTACGTGCTACATCATACCTTGTATATTTATTTATCCTCTTTTTCATAAAATATGTATTACTTATTACCAAATTTCTTTCTACACATAGCTCAATTAAAGGCTCCCCATTTACATTTACCCCTGGCACCCCAAATTTACCTACTACTCCCTCCATAACATTTTTACCCACTTTAGCATTGAAATCCCCAACCACCATTACTCTCACACTTGATTCAAAACTCCCCATGCATTCACTCAACATTTCCCAAAATCTCTCTCCTCTACACTTCTCTCTTCTCCAGGTGCATACACACTTACTATAACCCACTTTTCACATCCAATCTTTATTTTACTCCACATAATCCTTGAATTAATACATTTGTAGTCCCTCTTTTCCTGCCATAGCTTATCCTTCAACATTATTGCTACTCCTTCTTTAGCTCTAACTTTATTTGAAACCCCTGACCTAATCCCATTTATTCCTCTCCATTGAAACTCTCCCACCCCTTTCAGCTTTGTTTCACTTAAAGCCAGGACATCCAGTTTCTTCTCATTCATAACATCCACAATCATCTCTTTCTTATCATTTGCACAACATGCACGCACATTCAGACTTCCCACTTTGAAATTTTTTTTCTTCTTATTCTTTTTAGTAATCTTTACAGGAAAAGGGGTTACTAGCCCATTGTTCCTGGCATTTTAGTTGACTTTTATAACAACAATTAATCAGTTTACTAATCTTTACTTTCCAAGTATAGTACAGTATATATATTTTTGGGCTGCTGCACAGCACAGTCTTATTGTAATCCATTTTTTTTTTTAATGTTTGTAATCACTAATTACTCTATACTGTATTTTCAGAACTAAGGCTCCAATACCATGCAAAAAATGTTCCAACGTGTTGTTTTGTTCAGCCGAGTGTCGTCAGGAATCTTTCTTCCACACCATTGAGTGTCCAATCCTAGATCTGCTGACAGGATCAGGAATGTCCATTAACTGTTTCTTGGCATTCAGACTTGTTACACAGTATCCCTTATCATTCTTCTTGGATCTTAAAGACCAGCTTGTCGAAGAAGACCCCAAGGTAATTTTTGTCTGTAATACTGTACTGCATATGCATTTTTAAATTATGAGTTAGCCTGGTCACAGACCGGGCCGCGGGGGCGTTGACCCCCGGAACTCTCTCCAGGTAAACTCCAGGTAAACATCAGCCGTTTCCCACCAAGGCGGGGTGGCCCGTAAAAGAAAAACTTCCTTCATTCACTCCATCACTGTCTTGCCAGAGGCATGCTTACACTACAGTTATAAAACTGCAACATTTACACCCCTCCTTCTGAGTGCCGGCACTGTACTTTCCATCTCCAGGACTCAAGTCCAACCTGCTGATTTCCCTGATTCCCTTCATAAATGTTACTCTGCTTACACTCCAACAGCACATCAAGTTCTAAAAACCATTTGTCTCCATTTGCTTTAATCTAACATGCTCATGCACACTTGCTGGAAGTCCAAGCCCCTCACACACAAAACCTCCTTAATCCCTTCCCTCCAACTTTTCCTAGGCCGACCTTTACCTCGCCTTCCATCCGCTACAGATTCATACACTCTCAAAGTCATTCTATTTTGTTCCACCCTCTCTATATGTCCAAACTATCTCAACAACCCCTCCTCAACCCTCTGGATAATAGTTTTGGTAATCCCGCACCTCCTCCTAATCTGCAAACTAAAGATTCTCTGCATTATATTTGCACCACACATTGCCCTTCAGCATGACATCTCCACTCCCTCCAGCCTTCTCCTTGTTGCAGCATTCACTAGCCATGCCTTAAACCTATACAAGAGCATTGGTAATACTATACTCTCATACATTCATCTCTTTGCTTTCATGGATAAAGTTCTTTGTCTCCACACACTCCTTGGTGCACCACTCACTTTTTTCCCCCCGTCAATTCTTTAATTCACCTCATCTATCATGGATCCATCTGCTGACACGTCCACTCCCAAATATTTGAATACATTCACCTCCTCCATACTCTCTCCCTCCAATCTGATATCCAAAATCTTGTTACCTAATTTTTTTGTTATCCCCATCACCTTACTCTTTCCTATATTCACTTTTAATTTCCTTCTTTTACATACCCTACCAAACTCATCAACCAACCTCTGCAACGTCTCTTCAGAATCTCCCAAAAGCACAGTGTCATCAGCAAAGAGCAACTGTGACACATCTTTTAACCTCACACCTCTTGCCAATACCCAAGCATTCACTTCTCTTACAACTCCATCTATAAATTTATTGAACAACCATGGTGACATCACACATCCCTGTTTAAGGCCTACTTTTCCTGGGAAATAATCTAACCTGAGCCTCACTATCCTTGTAAAGACTCTTCACTGCTTTCAGTAACCTACCTCCTATTCCATACATTTGCAACATCAGCCACATTGCTTCCCTATCCACTCTATCATATGCCTTTTCCAGATCCATAAATGCCACTAAAACCTCTTTAGCCTTATCTAAATACTGTTCACCTATGTTTTATTGAAAACACTTGGTCTACACACCTCCTACCCTTCCTAAAGCCTCGTTGTTCATCTACTATTCCACTCTTCATCTTACTGTTAATTCTTTCAATAATAACTCGACCATACACTTTACCAGGTATACTCAACAGACTTATTCCCCTATAATTTTTACACACTCTTTTGTCCCTTTTACTTGTATGCAAAGGAACTATGCATGCTCTCTGCCAGTCCCTAGGTACCTTACCCTTTTCCATACATTTATTAAATACAAACACTAACCACTCCAAAACTATATCCTCACCTGCTTTTAACATTTCTATCTTTATCCCATCAATCCCAGCTGCTTTACCCCTTTTCATTCTATCCATTGCCCCACACACTTCCCCCTCACTCACAACTGGTTCTTCCTCACTCCTATAAGATGTTATTCCTCCTTCCCCTATGCACAAAATCACAGTTTCCTTATCTTCTTCAACATTTAACAATTCTTGAAAATATTCCCTCCATCTTCTAGTTACCTCTAACTCTCCATTTAATAACTCTTCTCTCCTATATTTAACTAACAAATCCATTCATTCCCTTAGGCTTTCTCAACTTATTAATCTCACTCCAACACTTTTTCTTATTCTCAACAAAATTTGTTGATAACATCTTTCCCATTCTCTCATTTGCTTACTCTATACATTGC